GGTGCTGGGGGATTGAACCGTGGTCCCTGGGCTTTGGGCTTTGCTAAGCTTGTTCTAAGTAGGTGCTTTAGACCACTGAGCCATCTCACCAGCCCCCTCAGATTTCTTTTGGAATACACAAGTTGGGTAAATGAAACAAGATTGGCAGAGTTGATAATTGGGGTTTTTTTGTTGTTGGTTTGGTTTGGTTTGGTTTGTACTGAGACATCTCCCTGGCCCCTGCTAAGCTATCTTAAAGTCCTCCGTACATGTTTTTGAAATACGTAGCTCACACCCCTGTCCATTCCCATCACCACTAAAAAATATATTGGAGATTAAACCCAGGGCATTGTACTAAGCTATACTCCTCGGCCCTCTTTTATTTTGGGACAGAGTCTCACTAAGTTGTGCAGATTGGTTTCACACTTGTAATCATCCTGCTTTAGCCTCCCAGAGTGCTGGTATTATACATGTGTGCCATCACACTTGGCTAAAAACTGCTGTCAGCCTTATTACTTCCCATGTTTATTATCAAGGAATGTTTGTGTACAGTTAATGATTTTTCTTGGTGGTGTTTGTTTTTTGAGATAAGGTCTCACCACGTAGTGCAGGCTAGCATTGAACTTGCTTACGTAGCCCTGGCTGGCCTTCCATTCACATTGATCCTCCTGCCTCATCCTCCTGAGTGCTGGGATTACATGTGTGCACCATCACTTCTGGCTTCAGTTAGAGTTTTAACATGATCTAGTTTTCATTTTTGAGTGCCTTCTATTTTCATATATAAATTTGTGTTTAAAACAGTTGGCAGGGGGTCCTAAAAGTGATTTTACTTCATTAGAAATAATCTGAATAAGCATTTATAAAAGTATGACATTTATTTATATACATTTCAGGAAAAGAACCACTTGTAAAAATACTTCTAATACTAAATTCATTGAGACATGCAAATTCCAACATGTATGTGGACAGAGCAGTCACACATAAATAAGTTTCCTCATATAAAAATGTATATGCACTTTTTGGTGTATATACATACGTGTATGTGGAGCGGGGGGAGGGAGTAAAGTGATTTGAGAGAAGAGGTAACTTGTGAGCTGTACTTGCTGAATAAAGGGCCAGGGACTATTCAAGTTTCTTCAAAATTTAGGTGGAAAATAGAATACCTGGTTCTAGTTCTTGTTCTTTTTTTGTATTTTAGGGAAGGGTCTACAGGGTGTTCAGGGTCTCACTACTAGATCGGCCTTGTAGTGATCCACCTGTTTACAGCCTCCCAAGAGCTGGGATTATGGTGGTGCACAACCTCGCCCAGTCTTAATTGCCTTCTCAGAGTGCCTCTGGGGCGGGGCTGGCACTGTAGGCCTGAGGATTGAACTTATTCTTTACTCCACTGAGCTATTTGGCCAGCAATACCTGGTTCTTTAAGTGCTCTATGATAGCACTGTCAACAATCTCTTATGTTTTTCTTCCTAGGCCAATGAAGATGTGACCCAGATTGTGGAGATTCTCCATTCTGGGCCTAGTAAATGGAACTGGCTTACACGCCGTCTGGTGGAGTTCACCTCTTCAGGGAGTGTCCTCCTGTTTGTTACTAAAAAAGCCAATGCTGAAGAGCTAGCCAATAACCTTAAGCAGGAGGGTCATAATCTTGGACTACTCCATGGGGACATGGATCAGAGTGAGAGAAACAAGGTCATTTCAGACTTTAAGAAAAAGGACATTCCAGTCCTGGTGGCCACTGATGTTGCAGGTAGCGTATACATTCCATAGTAGCTTTAGTCTGTGCTCTTAAAACTATTCTGTTATTCTGTAATACGCCCTGTGACATGTGAGCAGGCAGGCTAATTGAAATGCTGGCTTGTTGGCCCCATTGTATGCGACAGCATTTTGGCACATTAATCAAAACCTGGAGCTCTTAATGACACTTGATCACTCAAGTGTTTCTCTTTCTTTGATGAAAATGTCTGCAGCTAGAAAGGGGAGGTGGGATTTGGCAGGACACCCATACTGTGAGTGAATATAGACATGTTTGAACTATCTTTATCTTGTGATCACTATAAATAAGGAAGTCATTAATTGAGCATACTTCACTGAAGACTGGAACAGTTTGTAGAGTATAATTTTGGCTTTATTCTGTTGTAGTATTTTTGGTTTTTGTTTGTTTTTTAAGGTATTTCACTCCATAGTCCAGGGTCACTTTCAGCTTACATAACCCAGGCTGGCCTGAAACTCTGCAGTCATCCTGCCTCAGTACTTGGCTTGTTTTATTTTATTATTTATTTATTTATTTATTTATTTATTTTGGGCGGAACCGGGAATTGAACTCAGGCCCTTGTGCTTGCCAGGGAAGCGCTTATTCTACTGAGCCATCTCCCTGGCCCCTGTTGTGTTGTGTTGTATTTTATTGTATTTACTTTTAGTTGGTTGGTTGGTTGGTTGGTTGGTTGGTTGGTTAGCTAGCTAGCTAGTTAAGCTTTTTTTTTTTTTTTTTTTTTTTTTGAGACAGGATCTTACTATACAGTTCAGGTTGGCCTTGAACTCACTTTGTAGCCCAAGCTGGTCAACAACAGTTTTCCCTCTTCAGCCTCAGAAGTGCTGGGATTACAGGTGTGTGCCACTACACCTAGCTCTGCTGAATTTTAATAGCTATCCTTATAACTGGTATTTTCTTACAGAACGGAGAAAACTTCTCAGGCTTAAGACACATCTGAAGTTAGATATGGTGACACATCCTTATAGTTCTGGTCGAGACTGGAGAATTACACATTTGAGGCCATTGATTCATTTCATCCTAGCTTATTTTATTTGATACAGGGTCTCACTACACAGCTTGGGCTCGTAGTGATCCTCCTCTTTTCAGCCTCCCCAGAACTGGGATTATAAGCATGTGCCACCATGCCTGGTTTTGGTGGCTGACTCAGCACACCGGGGGTGGGGCCGACATGGCATGTGGTACCAGGGACCAAACCCTGGTACCTGCACCTCCCTAAGCAGGCACTTGGTCCGCTGAGCTATCTCACTGGCCTGAGTTTAATTTTTAAAATATATTCCAGGTTCAGGAGCGAGGCCCTGGCCAGTTAGTGATGGCAAAAGGTACAGACAGGTCCCTTACCATAATAGAATCTATCACAGTGACACTGGATACCTTAAGATGCAGCTCACCAAATCCATGTACTCAGATAAGGGAGATGTGTTTTCTGAGAGCTAAAGTATTTCTTATTACTCTGACCTTTTGACTAAATGAAGAATGAGAGAATTTGGTTTTTTTTTTAATTCAGCCCGTGGTCTGGACATTCCTTCAATTAAGACTGTCATTAACTATGATGTGGCACGAGACATTGATACCCATACACATAGGATTGGGCGCACAGGAAGAGCTGGTGAGAAGGGTGTGGCCTATACCTTACTGACCCCCAAGGATAGCAATTTTGCTGGTGACCTTGTCCGGAACTTGGAAGGAGCCAACCAACATGTGTCCAAGGAACTCCTAGATCTCGCAATGCAGGTGAGGGGCTGGGCAAAATACTTTGGATTGCTTGGGGTCATACAGCTGAAACGTTGGCAAGTAGAAGGGATAACATCAATTTGATGAGAGAACAGACAGAGGGGTTATGAGATACAGGTTGGAATTGGTTAATAGCATTTATCTTCATCTGTCTGCTTGTCTTTTCAGTAACAGCTCTCTTAAGAAACTACTTGTTTTGTGTTAAAATTTGTTCCCGTAATTTCTACCTGCCTACTCTGTAGTATACTTAGGAATAATTTAATTTCAAGAGCTATCTTCTATTCTTCCTGCTGTTCTGCACAGAAGTCAGTCTCTCTCTCTCTCTCTCTCTCTCTCTCTCTCTCTCTCTCTCTCTCTCTTTCTCTCTCTCTCTCTGGGGGGTGACGGGTGATTGAACGCACGCAGGCCCTTGCGCTTGCCAGGGAAACGCTTATTCCGCTGAGCCATCTCCCCAGCCCCCCAGAGGTCTCTTCTGTGGTGGTAAATATGTGCGATGAAGAAAGCAGTTGTGTAGTGCTTCTTGAGTATTCATAATGGACTAAGAGTGTATACCTTTGATCACATACTGATTATACTCTTCCGAGGTATGCCACAGTCCAAAACTGATTCTGTTACATCAAACCTGGAGTTATCATTTTATGTCCCCAAGCTACAGATGAGTTCAGAACAAAATATGATAGTAGGAAATGTTAAGTAACTGGTTCATAGCCCAGCTGTTGTAGGACTCCCTATATTTCTGATTCTAGGAGTTAAGGACTACAGTAGGCCTCTATAAGAGAGGAAAGTAATGTTTTGGTGGAGCTAGAGCCAACGCTAAACTAAAATTTTATTTATTTATTTATTTTGGGCGGAACCGGGAATTGAACTCAGGCCATTGCACTTGCCATGGAAGCACTTATTCTACTGAGCCATCTCCCTGGCCCTGAAACTAAAATTTTAAATAAAATTTGTTTTATCTGTGGCATTTTTTAACATCTCCTTTAGTGCCTCAGGTTCTCCATGCTCCACAGTTTTCCCACGTCTCTTAAGTACTTTAACAGTAACATGTGATTATCAACTTAAATTCTCAAAGATGCTTGCTTTTTTTTTTTTTTGAGACAGTCTGTTGTATGTTATGGGTCGGTGCCAAAAGAAACGACGAGACGACCTGATGAATGTAGCTTTAGAGGTCTCACTGAGATTAGTCTCTCTCCAAGTAAGCTCAGAGCCTCAGAAGCATCTCGCATTTATTGAGGGGTGAAGGCAGACTAAGGAATGTGCATAATTACCTAAGTGAATACAGACTACAATCTCTATTGACTTCCACCATTTGTCTAACACTAGGTTCACACAAATGCTAGCTGATAACATCCCAAGCAAGGGATCAAAGGACAGGGCGCCTGCAGGAGAAGCTGTTATCTGCTGCCTTGGGTCCCAGCTTTTCAGGAATTTGCAAACAGACAGCAACCCTCCTTGGGCTCAGTCCAGTGTTCCCTGCTCTCTTGGGACATCAGGCTTTTGTCTCAAATCTATATCTCTACACAGTCCCCCTATGTAGTTTAGGGTGGCCTTGAACTCACTCCAGGCTAGTTGCAAACTTGTGGTAATTGTGCCTCAGCCTCCCAAGTGCTGAGCTTATAGGCATGCACCATCATGTCTGGCAAGATGATTGCATTCTTAAGAAGTGAATAAATCTGGTAAGTCAAGTTCATGAAAACTTTTAGGCTGTATGGGAAATAGAATTTTGTATTGTAGTTGACAGTTATTCCCGGGAGTTTGTCCCCAGAGTCATTTCTGATAAGTCTGGCCTCATCTAGTTTGTTTGTTTTTTGTTTTGTTTTGTTTTAATTTGAGACAGATTTCACGAATTTCTAAGTTGCCCAAGCTGAGTTTGAACTTGTGATCCCTCTTCTTTGGCCAAACAGGAAGAGCTGGTGAGAAAGGTTTGGCCTATACCTAACTGACCCCTTACTGGTCTATACCTTTCTTGACCTAGCATAGTGTTGGTATTATAGGTGTGTGCTGTCACCCCCAACTACCACTCTGTTTTTGAAGCTTTGGGAGTCCTTAGCTAAGCATGTAAGTCTCCTGACAAATTTGGTGTTAAACCACCAAAAAGAAACAGGTCTGTAGTTCCTGTGAACAGTTCCTTCCTTGGTGTAAGTGCATTAGCTAAAGATGAAACAGGAGCTGGGGAGATAGCTCAGTAGAATAACCACTTGCCTGGCAAGTGCAAGGAATAAAGATGAAACAAAAAGTTCTTCCCAGTTAATTTCTTCTTTGACCTTGTCCTTGTTCAATGCAGAATGCCTGGTTTCGGAAATCCCGCTTCAAAGGAGGAAAAGGCAAAAAGCTGAACATTGGTGGAGGAGGCCTGGGCTATAGGGAGCGGCCTGGCCTAGGGTCTGAGAACACGGTGAGTACAGATGACAGCAATTCTCTTGGGATCAGTCCCGTGTCTTAAATGATGATAAGGCTATTCTGATCTTCCTGTGAAAGTGCCAGGAAGTTCAAAGCCCTGTTTAACACTGAGCATGTTTCTAATCTGATTGGAGTCAGTGTAGTGTTGATTTGTAATAAAACTTAACTGTCAGAGAAACATCTGAGTGTACTTGGCTGACTAGGGCTTTCTCAGAAAATTAGTTTAGATTCTGGGTGATACTGAAGTTATCATCCTTGCATGTTCAAAGGCTCCCCACACTTCAGACGTGGTCAGTCAGGAACTGGAGCACGGACTCCACAGTCTGTGTATGCAGTTCCTCCAGCTCTAGCCTATGACCTCCTGCTGGGGAGAACTTGGTGGAGAGTCACTGTACAAACTTTAGCTTATACTTTGTCACTGAACTCAGGAATGATTGCTCCAGTCTGGAGAAATTGCATTAGAGACATGTGAGATGAAATTTTTCTTAGTAAATAAAGTACCACCTCACTGGCTTCCTTATGCAGATAAGTATGTTGCTATGTTGCCCAGACTATTCTCTAATTCATGGGCTCAAGTGATCCTCCCCCAGTCGTCTCCCAAGTACAGCTGGGGCTGTAGGCTTGCACAGCCAGGCCAATCTTGTGTTTTCTGTGGCACTTTGTTTTTTGTACTGGAGATGGAACCCGGGAGTGCTCTACCACTAAGCTATGTTTCCAGTCCTTTTATCTTTGTTTTTGAGAATAAAATGTTGCTACATTGCCCCGACTGGCCTTGAATTTATGGTCATCCTGGCTGTTTCCTGACTAGGATTACAGGTGGTGTTCATCAGCATTCCCAACTACTTGTTTTGTGTTTTGAGACATAGGATCACCTTGAGTTCTCTAGGCTGGTCTCAAACTCATGAGTTTAAATGATCCTACTAGCTCAGTCTATCAAGTAGCTAGGACTAACAGTGTGTATCTGCTTGTTCTGTGACATACTGTTTTCTGAGCCATGGAAGAAAGTTTTATGTAGTGTTACAGTTCACTTTTGCATCTTCAACAAATATTCTTCCCTCACTACAGTAATGATGATGATATTGATGGAGATGATGGTGGTAGCAAATAATTACTGAACATTTCATATGTGGCAGGTCCATTCCAAGTATTTAAAGCAGTTCATCTTCAGTTCAGTGTAAGTACAGATAATAAGCTTAGGCACCTGTAGTTCCATGCTGGTAAGTTCAGAGGAGAGATTGAGATCTATAGTAGTCTTAATTCAGACCCTAAACAGTTATTCAGTGTACTACTTGAGTTTAACATAATTTTTTCCATAATTGGATATTTGCATAAATGATACATGCTCAACTTTGGGCATAACCCGATGGCATTTCTAGGAATAGAATTGCTGGTGAAGGGCATAGGCATATTTAAGTGCCTCTTGTCACTGCACTGTTTCCCACAAAGGGCAACTTTCTAAAAATAGCCAGATCCCATTATGACTCTTACTACAGAGTTTTTATTATAATGAGCTCCAGTCTTGGTTTTTGCATTCCCACCTATTTTCATGTCCTCATGGATGTGTTTATTTTTTAGGATCGAGGAAATAATAACAATGTGATGAGTAACTATGAGGCCTACAAGCCCTCCACAGGAGCCATGGGAGATCGCCTGACAGCAATGAAAGCAGCTTTCCAGGTCTGAAATAAGTGTTTTGTGCTTTTTAAAAAAGCTTTCAGTAATAACTTTGAACATTGTTGGAGCTGTCGTCTTTCTGAGGTAGTAACTGGCTCTGTAGACCTCATGCTAGATTTAGGGCCTTCTTTTTACTTGGATTTCACACACAGACATTGCTCATTTAACAGCTAACTTCCATTCCTATGAGTAGTAGTTAACTGGTCACTAAATGAAGAATTGTACCTAATATATATATTACAATATTCAGAGCAATGAAATGATCAAAGGAAACTCCAACTTTATAACTTTGCTTCTATTGGCTTAACCTTTTTTTTTTTTTTTTTTTTTTTTTTTTTTTTTTTTGGCAGAACCAGGGATTGAACTCAGACCCTTGCTCTTGCCAGGGAAGCGATTATTCTACTGAGCCATCTCCCCAGCCCTGGCTCAACTTTTACGTAACTGCACAAATCTCTTCAAACCTGCGTTTCCACTTGGCTAGTTAACATCTGATTAACTGGGCTTTTTCTTTTTTCCTTTTTTTTTTTTTCTGGAACCAGGGATTGAACTCAGGCCCTTGTGCTTGTCCGGCAAGCACTTACTCTACTGAGCCATCTCCCTGGCCCCTGGACTTTTATTTATACATTTTATCTGGGCCTAGACTGATGCTTCCAGTTTGGTCCCACAATTTTTTTATACATCAATACAAAAACTCAAAAACCCTGTATAGGAATTAATTTTTAAATAATATCATCTATATTGCATATATTGTCACATCAGTGCCAACACTCACCTTTCATAATCACATTCACTTCTAAACCAAAATACAGTTGTAATCACACTACAATGACTAGATAGAAAATAAGTAGCTTTGTCCTTTCAGGTTAGGCTTAATTTTTTGTTGTGCTGGGGATCAACCTCATGGCAAGTGCCCTACCATTGAGCTGCAATCCCAACCCATTACAGCCAGACTTTTTAAAAAGTGTTTTCACAGTTTTAATTTTTGAATTGTAAATCACATATTGTAGACCATAAATGTGTTGGACTGCTCTATACATAGAAGCTTTTGTTTTAGTCTGCAGGGCAATAAATTTTGGTACATTAAGTTCCCTGTAAAAATCCTTTGTTTTATAACATGAGAACTAAAGGAACATCAGAATCATCCCATACAAGTCATGTTGCAAAAATAAGAGACCTATTTTCTATGTTCTTTATAGAATAGCCAAGCTTATATGTATACTCAGGTTTCTTGAACTTGATATTGTACCTACTCCTGTTTTTTTCTCTTTTAGTCACAGTACAAGAGTCATTTTGTTGCAGCCAGTTTAAGTAATCAGAAGGCCGGAAGCTCCGCTGCTGGGCCAAGTGGATGGACGAGTGCAGGAAGCTTGAATTCTGTTCCAACTAATTCAGCACAGCAGGGCCATAACAGTCCTGACAGCCCTCTTGCCAGTTCTGCCAAAAGCATCCCAGGCTTTGGCAGTGCTGGGAATATCAGTAGTGCTCCAGTGACCTACCCTTCTGTTGGCACACAGGGAGCCAACAACACAGCTTCAGGGAATAACAGCCGCGAAGGGATTGGGGGTGGCAATGGTAAAAGAGAGAGATACACTGAGAACCGGGGTGGCAGCCGTCATAGTCACGGAGAGAGTGGCATTCGGCACGGCGATAGCCCACGTCATGGAGATGGTGGTCGTCATGGAGATGGATACCGGTTCCCAGAAAGTAGCAGTAGCCGTCATACTGATGGCCATCGGCATGGGGAGAACAGGCATGGAGGAAGTGCAGGCCGGCATGGGGAGAGCCGGAGTGCAAGTGATGGCCGGAACGGAGAGAGCAGGAAAGAAGGTTGTAATCGTGAAAGCAAGATGGACCCCAAGGTGGACAGCAAGATGGACAAGATGGATAGTAAGACAGATAAGACAGCTGATGGTTTTGCTGTCCCGGAGCCACCCAAACGCAAGAAAAGTCGATGGGACAGTTAGAGGGAATGTGTTACAGTGTGAAATCAGTTCTTCAGTTTTATTTTTAGAGATTTTGGTAACTAGGTGTCTCAGGGCTGGGTTGGGGTCCAGGATGTAAGGACCCCCTGCCCTTAGCGGACAGCTTGGAGCACAGACATTATGCCTTCCTCTGAATGATTGTTCAGATGCCTTCTTGGGAAGCTGCTTTGATCCCAGCAAACAATGAGCTGGGAAGCTTCTGTTGGCACTGGGTGAGTTGTCATGAGGGTAAGTTGAAGACGCTTGGAAAAGGCCTTATAGGGCACAAAACTCACTCTAGGTTTGTAAGTAGCTTATATTTTTTACTAAATTGTCACCTTATAAACATCTGTGAGTAAAATTGTTTTTCTTAGTGCTCTGGCCAGGCAATCCCTTTTTAGGAGTTGAGTTTTGCAAACCCAAATTATTGAGCTGCTGGGATTATTTGCAGAGCAGTTTGGTGCTTCAAGACATTTGCAGGGAAGGGAGATCCTCAATTCTAAATAAAGAGTCGATGCTCAGGTTCTCTAGATTGTATCCAGCCCTGAGACATGCAAGAGGCAACTTTCCAAGCCCAGCTTTTAAGAGCCTCTATGATTGAAGGGAAATGGTTCTAGAAGGTTCCAGGATTGCTTCAGGCCTGAGGTTTTGGCTAAATTAAAAATTAAAACCAACAACAGCTTTTTAAAGTATCTATTTCTTTTATTTTGGATTTTTTTTTTTTTTTTTTTTTTGGTAACTTGCCCCAGTAGAAGTCTTTGCTGAAATGATTTTGATGACTTTTGTTTTATCTTGTTTATAAAAAGGAAAAGAAATACAAAAACTTCAAATTTTGTGACTTTGTGAAGGTTTCTTTAAGATGTGCATTCCTCTGCTTGCTCTCTAGTAAACGTTTTACTACTGGGACCTGCAGGTTGTCTGTCATTTCTACCTTAGTTGTATGTTCTACATAATATGATTTGGGACAGTGCAGCACAGTAATTAATGTTTTATTCAATCAATATGATGTAGGATGAGGGCAGTTCCAAGAGGCCCACATCCCATCCCTAAGACTGGTTACAAAACACCAAAGATTTGACCACATAGCTCCAGCACTCCTTGTTTTCACAGAAAGGTAATGAAGCTCCTTGGTGCTTTCCTGGGAGAGCATCCTCCAGGCAGGAAAATGTCCTTCTCCCCATATAGGACTGCCTCCTTGGCATGTTAGGTATTTGTGATAACAGCAAGCACCCAACTGCTACAAGGAGGCTAGATGAACTGTACCACATTGTTCCTGCTACATTTCAGTCTCATTTCCGCTTGTGTTTTCTCTTCTGCTCCTTCCGTTGCTGTGCTCTCTGATCCTTCTTCATTCTTGAGTCAACCACTTTGAAATGACCTCTGACTCCAGCTGGCCGCCGCACTTTGCGACCCACACCTTTTTTGGCTACAACATAAGTAACCTGCCGTTTTTCCTTGCCCAGACCAGCCTTCTTGTAGAGACTGTAAAAAGAAAGAAAGGTTCAAGAAACACTTCCTGCTCTTCCTTTCACCCCTTTTGCAGCGTCCCCCAATTACCTTCTCAACTGTGCCACCTTCTCTCGTTCAGAGATGTCTACTGTGTTCACCACAGCTTCTGCCTTCTTCTTAGTCTGTTCCAGCTTCTTCAGCATCTAGGAGGGGACTTCAGTCAGGTGACTACTTCACCTCCGCCACACCCACACCTAATCTCAAATAATGCCCACTTACCCTTCGTTTCTTTCTGGCCTTGGCCTCAGCCACTTTCTTGATGGGACGTGCATTGATTTCCTTCCAGCGTTTGCGGTAATGTTCCACTTCCATCTTGTCAAGAGGCAACTGCCGTATTCGATGCTGCTTCTCTTCCTGCACAAACCAGTCTGGAAGTTCCCCCTCGTCTTCATTAAATGCGTACCTGGGTAGAGAGGACAGGAGGCCAACATCATTCCAGGCTCCTGAGAAACCAGTCATTCACTGAAACACATACTGACCACTTCTTGTTAATTGTTTTTTTTTTTGTTCCCTTACCGGTTGAAGGAGTTATCTATGAGGTCTCTCTTGGCCTTTTTGGAGGAAGCAATAATGGCACCTAAAGCAAGGCCTTCAGGGTCCAGAATCCTATGTTTCACTGAGAAAAGGACAAAAGTCAGACCCCAGTTCTCAACACTGAAGCCCCATCCTCTCACTCCACACAAGCAGAGCTCTTACCTGGATCCTCAATAGGCACAACCTCAAACCCGTCAGCATCAGATATAGGCCCACGGCTACGCTTCTTACCACGGGATGGTCCCCTATGGAGGAGGGCAGGCTATAAACAGACATAGCACCCTCTTTGTGCCACTCACATAACATTCCAGCTGATTCCTGTCAGGCCAGTTAAAACAGTCCCCAGTATTCTTACAGCTATGTGCAGCCAACCTTGGGAACCCCAATTGGAAGACACGACTCAAACCACTGCTTTCTCCCTTCCCACTCACCTCTCCTCATCCTCACTGCTACTACTCTCACTGTCTGAGCTGTTACTTCCTTCCACTTCAGGGCCACTGCCAACTCCTGACCCAGAGGAAGCCTTGTCCCCATCCAGGGGCTCATTCTGGTACTGGGGCAACTTTCTCTCTTTCTTCAAACTGGAAGGTGACAGTGGTTCTGGTGGCTCCTGCTCCTGCCCCTTGTGACGGCTCTTATACAACAGCTGGGCCTGACTGATTTCCAGGGCCTCATCATCAGCATCCTCAATCCAACTGAAGCCATCCTGTTGGGAGAGAACTTTCAGCTACCTCCTAATACCAGGCTCCCAACAGACTTGCCCTGGCTTCTTACCTTTGAGAACCACAGGTTGGTCTGTTCTTCTTGCAACACTGCCTTTTCTTCCAGTGGCACCAACAGTGGATTCTCTTCTTCCTCCTCTTTATTATCTTCTAGTTGAGCAAATCGCACACTGCAGATACCAGCAAACGTAAGAAAGGCTCAGTGACCAAATGCCCAGAGACCTAACATACCCATTTCTAGCAACATATCCATTGACTTGTTTCAGGAGCTGAACTAAACAGAGGGGCGTACCCTTACAAGTCCCTTACCTCTTCTGCTCCTTCACTCCCTGATGTCCTTGGACTCCTGCCAACTCTTCTGGATCAAGGTCACTGTCCAGAGATGAACCAGTATCCTCATCATCTGACACATAGATGTCATCCCTTGGCAGATCTGACAGGAGTCTGTCTGCAGCACTCATGTCCCCTTGTGTTACTTCCTCTAGTAACTGAAGTTCAAGAGAAACAGAAATTGAGTACTTAGTAAAAAATACTTGCAATATCCACTTCTTGAGCAACACTAGCAAATACACAAGCAATTAAGAGACTGGCCTATCTAAACATGGCCATTTTAGAGCTGGGGAGACAGCTTGGTCTAAGACCCAGGTTCAGTCCCCAGTACCACACGCCCTGCCAGCCACCAAAACCAGGCATATGTAATGGTGCACACGTGTAACCCCAGCACTGGGGAGGCTAAGAAGAGGAGCGCTGTGAGTCTGACCTGTGTAGCAAGACCCTATACCTACCAAATGAATGTATGTATGTATGCATGGATGGATGGATGTCACATTCTAGACAACACTTCTGTCCTGCTCTCTGATTTAAAAATCACTCTTATAGCAGGAAGCTTGCCTCCTTTTAAGAAACCCTGGCTTCAATTGTGAACACCAATACTACAACAAGGAAAAAAAAAGTTATTTTGAAAAGACACCATCACTTTAGAATTTTGATCCCAGAAAAAAAACCAGATAACATGTATCTGACAGAACTGCTTCACTTCAGTTAAGTGTCAAAATCTACTTTCCTTATGATAAACAATTACCTTTATCTATTAGTCACAAAAACCCTAGTAGAAAGTTGGAAACAGCTAAGTGGTAGGTCAGAGCCACACAGCCTAAAAAGTGCGGCTGGATCTGAAGGCTGAGCTTGTATCTATTCAGTGACTGCTACACTGCCTTTACTGTGTGCCAAACATGACCTGACTGTGACATTCCCACACAAGAGCTGCAATAGTTCATTTTGCTTGTAACAGTGCATTCATCAGGAAAAGTATGTTCTTTAGTATCTGGCAGCAGACCACTCACCTAATTCCAAGAACATGCTCTCCTCTATGAGGAACACCATCTTTTCACCTGATAATCCAGCTACCCTCGCTGCATTTACCATAATCTCAGCTCTTGGTCCTGATGTTCCAGTTCTACAATAATCTGTACCACAATCTCAATCACGGATCTTCCTGATTTCATTTCAGGTACTTCTTTTTATCCTTTGAGTCATAGGACTCATGTTTTCCCATCTCCCCCTCCTGTTTCCTCATCCTGTATCCCCAAGCCCACCTCACCTGGTGACCTCGGATGGTACGCAGGGAGAACATGCCCGTCTCCCCCTCATCTGCAATGGAAACTCCAGGCAGATCCATCTTCAGTTCTATGCGTTCCCGTTGCTTCCTCTGCTCTCGAAGCAGCTTCTTCTTCTTCCTAAAGAAATGGGTTGAGAGAATTTAAAAACCTGCCTTGCCCGCAAGATTCCCTATCTGTGCCTTTCCTTCTTTTCTCCCCACTTCACACATGGAAGGAAGGACTATGCATGGGGGTTCCCCAACTCTTCCCCAGCTTCCCTGACCTCTTTAATTCTGCCACCTCCTGAGCCTTCAGCTCTGCCAGGGTCTGGTTCAGTTGCTCCTCCTCCTCTTCCTCCTTCGAAGGCTGCCTCGAGGTCTCAGCAGTACACTCCTCCTCTTCGTCACCTTCTTCCTCTCCTGAGCTGAGGCTAAAAAAGTCCAAGATGTTGTGTTTTCTAAAGACTTCTTCCCAACACAGTTACACCTACCCTTGTTAGTTTCCTTCTCACCTGATATCCAGTGCTTTGGCTTGCTCTTTTAGCTTCTTAGCCACATAGCGCCGAAGTTTTGTTCTCCAGTTCAGTAGGGACCTGCCCCAAAAATACTGATCATACCATTTTCTCTCTATTTTTACTTCTGTTTCCTTCTGTTTTAAACCTATACTTTTTTGTTGTTTTGAGACAGGGTCTTGCTACATAGCCCAGGCTGGCCTTGACGATCCTCCTGTCTTGGCCTCCCAAGTGCTAGGACTACAGGCATGCATTAGCTTACCCAGCTAATCTACACTTCAGACTTCAGGCCCCAGCCACAGAAATCCTAAGGTTCAGGCCCCACCCTAAACCTCTAGTACAAGAAAATCTCAAGAGGCCCTGTATCATGATCTTTGTTCAAAGGCTTTTCCTTCCTTCAGAGCTGGCCCCATTCACCCACCCCACTACATACCTAAGTTCCTTGCGCCCCAGAACTTTAATGTCCTGACAGCATGCCCGTATGTCCTCCGTGGTAGCTGGATGTTGTGCCAACTCTTCATCATCGATTGAGATCTATTGGAGAGGAAAAGCAGGCAAGGAGATTTTTAGGCTCAGTAGCTAGAGCTCTCTTATTTTCTTCCCCAAGTCTGGAAACTCACCTCGCTGGCCTTGGAGAGGAAGTCAACAGGGTTGGCAGCCCGTAGGAAGTCAGTGACTGAGGTACGGTGATAAAGAGTCAGGTCACCCTCAGCATAGCCTTCAGCCTTAGGGAAAGAACAACGGTTGGGTGGTTCCTTCTGAAATTTCTGAAGGACCCACAAGGCCCAATTTCCCCAAACCTACCTTTGGCTTCTTCTTAGTTACCAACTCAGTAACAGTCTTAGCCTGAACTTCAACCTCCTTGAAGGCAAACTTGGGATCAAAGAATTTGCTATCAACCTTGTCAGGAGCCAAGAACCCTAAAATGATAAGATATATTTTTAAACGTGGTTTGGTAACTAGCAGGCCAACCCAAGAGAAGGAAATCATGCCCACCCTGGCAGACTACAAAGATTTCTGCAGATTCATGGCGAGAGGCTTGGGGCTTGGTGGCCTGGACACGGCGGAACAGCTGCTGAAAGATCCACAGCAGGGGCTGATAGTCACGGGAACGGAAAACCTTTGTGATGAAGCTGCCACCACGTGCCAAAAAATCACAAGCCAAACGCAGAGCCATCAGTGTCAAGTGGGCTGTGGGATGAAGACAGCCGTGAGGACCTCTATGAGCCAAGGACAGGCCACATCCATCTCCACCCTCACCAGCTCCACCCCTGCACACCTTGTGAGTAAGCATCATGGACCCAGCTCGCCCCGACATTGGGGGCCCCGTCATTGAGCACAACATCCACTTTCCAAGTCTTCAGCTCCTTTCGCAGTGCCTACACAGGAGCGATTATGGCAACAGAAAACATAAGAATGGGTAAAGCGGGACTCCCTAGTCCAGCCCACGGTCCATCCAGTCATCTGCTGAGTGCCCACCACAAACAAATACCCCTTAGGTACTGGAAATGAAATAGGAAACAAAACTAACACATTTCCATCTTACTGGAGCTTTGGGGGTAGCAGTCCACTGAAAAGGATTACACCCCTGACCAAATAAGGCTAGAGAGGACATCAGGAATGCCTGCACCCTACGTGTCATGCAGGTAGCGCTCAAAGCATAGTAAAAACTGCACTTAGGAAATTTGGAAGCTGTCAGGAAGAAAGGAATTCCTATTACCTGCCTACAGCGTTCTGTAGTGATGTCCTCCTGAAGAGTCACCACATTGGGGAGAGGCTTGATTGGAACCAGGTCCACTCCTGGAAGAGATGAGGTCAGGGTGGTTTTGCAGCAAGGAAAGAAACGCAGGACAATCAGTACCTTGTCCCCGCAAAACTTCCAAGAGAGCCACCAGTTACTCACCCACAATAAGACTGGACACAGGCATAAACTTGGCAGCCACCTGCAGCCTATGAAAGGAAGAGATTAAAACCTGGAACTGTCCATCTTCTTCCCCAGCAATGGGCTCTCTTACAGAAAATTGCCCACCCAAGGTTCAGAACAGACTTCTGCTCTGAAATACAGCTACAAATCTGGGGCTGGCATTACTGCACTGTGTTGGGAGTAGAAGACCCAAAATCCGACACTCCCCGAAGAACACAATTCTAATCCACGCAGTACTGTGACACCGCCTCTAGGACCAACTGAGCCGAGTGTAACACACCATCCTCCCGGCGCAGCACACAAATCCAGTAAGGCTCGAGCTTTCTGCAGGAACTGAAAGCGGCGATTGAGCTGGATCAGCTTGAAGGCAGAGCGGGAACGATAACCTGGAAGGCGCAAGTGGCAACAAAATAATGACGTCCGCGGAACGCAGGTGCAGCGGGACTTCTCTGGCCTTATAACCCACTACCCCTTCTGCGGAAATCGAGCCCAACACCTGGAAAGGCGCAGGCCCCCAAGATCGTTCTCACGCTCGCCACAGCGCGAAGCCCGACTCACCAGTCTCCTTTGCCAAATGATAGAACTTGTCCCGCCGGCTCTTGCCGACTTTGCCCTTCTTTCCCATGGTAGAACGGGGGAATGGCACTCAATCTGGGGAGAAGGTTGCGTTGAAGCTTCTTCCTAGCCACTGGATTCTCCCTCAGCAACTTTCCACAGCAATCACACTCCGAGGCCCCGACCCAGAGGCGTTTCCGCTACAGAAGAGCACATGTGGGAAACTTCCGCTTCCGCTCGCGCCCCTTCCGTCCTTGGCTCTAAGCTTTTCTCCATCTTGAATGCGGCCGTAAATATATTGTCCCAAGACTTACAAGTTGAAAAATGTGATTAGGGCGGTTACAATATTTATATACTGGGTTTCTAGGAAGCAATGATTAAGAGATCTAGCTCCTCACGTGTTCCGCAAACTCCCAATCCCGAGAACCCGCCCCTCCCATCATGGCTGCTGTTCTTTATTGTGCGCGCGTATACCCCGCCCATTGACCTATTGACCCGGAACTATTTCCCGTAGTTCTGGCTAAAGCCCCGCCTCCTGCGCCTGCGCACTAAGGAGGCTCGGATGCCGGCGGTCTCTGTTGAAGAGGGAATATGGCGCTTGACGGGCCAGAGCAGGTAGGGCGGTTGTGGCAGCGGTAGACGAGCGGAGACCTGTATGATGTGAAACGGGTCACACCCGAGATAGAGAGCGGGCCGGGGCAAGAGGGTCGGGTGGGTCGGGCGTGTAAGTGAACCAATCCAGACCGGGCCTTGCCTTGAGATGGGATTTGCTGTGTCAGCGCCGCCGGCGGTGAGTCGGGGCAGAGCCGTAGCGGCGGGAGGGTGACCGTCTCCCCTTGTGGCTCGGTCTGTAGTAGTAACACCTCGCCTCCGGATGGCACTTGCCATACGGCCAAATGCTCCCGCGTACGTGGTCCCTCGCCCTCCTAGGGAGGTAGCTGGCGTTTATATGCTTTTAAATTTTGATCATGGGAAAATGGAGCTCGTAGAGGGAAGGCGTGAAGGTTAGAACCCGGTTGTTAAGCATCCGAAGTCCCGGCTCTTTACCACGCAGAGCTGCCTGATGTTGAGCCTTACGGTGAAAGGCCCTGGAGGTGTTTTCACTCCTTCGGCCTTCAGCCTTAATAACGACACTGTGTCTTCAGATGGAGCTGGAAGAAGGCAAGGCGGGCAGTGGACTCCGCCAGTATTACTTGTCCAAGATTGAAGAACTCCAGGTGAGAACTAGCTCTGGAGCGATCTAGGAGGGGATGAGAACTGGTGGAAATTTTCTGCAAATTCCATAGATAGTGCAATGAAGGAAGCTATTTTCCTATTTTGTGCTTGTTTTTGGTTTTTGAGGCAGGGGTCTTGCTGTGCGGTCCAGTCTGGCCTTGAACTCAAACCTGTCCTATTTTCTGTCCTAAGTCCTGTAGTACTTAGAAAAGCATATCTGTAACAAGTAGCTGGTTGATGGCCCAGCCTGTAATCCCAGCACTTGAAAGAGTGAGGCAGGAGGATCACTATGAGGGGGAAGCCATCCCGGGACTGCTACATAGTGAGTTTAAAAACAGCCAGAATTACTTAGTACCGGGAAGAAGAAAAAGACAAAAACAAAAACAAAAAAAAACAACCAACTCATTATACTTAATTCTCCTCCTTTCAAAGGCAGTAGTACTCACACTTTGTTACTAAATTTCCAGGAGTCAGATTCTATTGGAAAAGATGGCTAGTCCAGGACTTTAACCTTGGGGGAGAAGTATCAGTGGAGGCGTTCTGTAAAAAGGGGAGGCAACAGGCTCAGATGAGATTTATCAGGAAGAGGCTGGGGGCTCTGTGAAATGCAACTTGGGGAGGGATAGCTGAGTCTGGACAACATTGATGTCACGCAGCCTGAACAGAGGGAACTGGGCATCTCCTTATGTTAGTCTAAACAGCTAAGCAGTAATACAATGTATGAAGAAAGACACAAAAAATTGAGCTGCTGGTGCTCTTGTAGTTACTGTATTTTATTAACATTTATTTATTTTTATGATACTGGAGCTCAAACCCAGGGGCCTTACATGTGCTAGGCCAGTACTCTGCCACCTACCTGTATCCTTAGTGCTTTACTTCATCTTTATTGTCAGCTGCTGAGCTAGAACTCAGATTTCCTGCCCAAAGATCTTTTCACAATGGCCTGGTGCCTCCTCCTGAGAAAGTCAGTGTGTCTGTCCCAGCGCTTGGGAAGCTGAACCAGGAGGATCCAGGTTGAGGTCCCACTTGGACAACTTAGTGAGACTGCCTCAAAAAATGAAGAGTTAGGGAATGCAGTTCAGTGCTAAAGTCCTAAAGTCAGTCCCCAAAACAAACAGAAAAAGAACAGCTACTTGTGACAGCTACCCTAGGCTGTAAAGAGACTCTTGGGCCATTGGGATCCTGCTGGAGAATCTGAACATGGAGGCAAAAACACCTTTCCTGCAGCTTATACCTGCCTGTGAAGGTTTTGGCCAAGATCCTGCCTCCGACTTTGAGTAACAGATTTTGTTTCTTGCTTTCCATAGCTGATTGTGAATGATAAAAGCCAAAACCTTCGGAGGCTACAGGCACAGAGGAATGAGCTAAATGCAAAAGGTGAGAGGGAAAAGATGGGAAGCCACATGTGGACAGTGTGAAGTTGAGCCATTCCTAATCTCCCTGACCTGCAGCCTCATAGCAGTGTTTCCTCCTAATACAAGGTGATGCTTCCACACCATCATTATGTAGTTGTGTCCCATGCACAACTCTTATGTAGAGTTCCATTGTAAATTTTTTTGTTTTCTACTTGAAAGAAAATGCCAAAGAAGGATAAAAAGGAGGAATAAGGGAGAGAAAGGGAGGTGAGCTATTGTATGAGAGAGAGAGAGAGAGAGAGACAGAGACAGAGACAGAGACAGAGACAGAGACAGAGACAGAGACAGACAGACAGACAGAAGCGGAGATGGAAGAGGAGGGACCTGGATGCCCAGTGGCCCAGGAGCCCTGGACAGGGTCTGGTCCTGCCACATGCAGGAGAGAGCTAAGTAGAGCTGTGTGGCCTGATTGCTGCCACTTTAGGTGGCTTTAGGTTGCCCACCTCCTTAGGTCTCAGGAGACAAATACCATCCCTACCCCAATCCCTGGGTCATACTGGAGATTGCACTGAAGTTCAATCTGAGCTACCTCCCCATCCCCTTTTTTGAGATGGAGTCCGTACTAAGTTACCCAGGCTGGACTGGAACCTGTGGTCCTCTGGCCTTAGCCTCCCAGAGTGCTGGGGTCAGTAACGTGTGTGGTGGCTACTGTGCCCAGCTCAGGGGCCCTTTTGATGAGTCACGGGTTCCACAGGACTTGTGTGTGCCTAAAGTTCCATTGTCACTCCCTTTAGGGTGTGTGTGTGTGTGTGTGTGTGTGTGTGTGTGTGTGTAACTTCAAACTGGAGCTGTGTTTAGTTTATGCTTGAATTAAATCCCCAGGGAGGGGACACCAAAGGAGCAACTAGGTGACCACTGTGTCTATTTGCCATCTAGTTCGCCTATTGCGGGAAGAGCTACAGCTGCTGCAGGAACAGGGCTCCTATGTGGGTGAAGTAGTCCGGGCTATGGATAAGAAGAAAGTATTGGTCAAGGTAAAGGCAACATGACCCAGGGCCAGCCTGTCACCCAGTGCTGCCCATCCTGTATGTAGCTTGCAGGCAGTGTTCTGTTCTAGAATCCCATGGGTCTGCTTTCAATGAAGTGGTGATTTAAGAAAGGTCACGAGCCCTTGTTTCTCCAGGTGCACCCTGAGGGCAAGTTCGTGGTAGATGTGGACAAGAACATCGACATCAATGATGTGAGTGGAACAGGTAAGTGGGTGGGGTCTGTACCTCATGTCCTGCTTCCTAAAACTCACCACCTCCATCCAGGTAACCCCCAATTGCCGGGTGGCCCTAAGAAATGACAGCTACACTCTGCACAAGATTCTCCCCAACAAGGTAGACCCTCTGGTATCACTCATGATGGTGGAAAAGGTGCCGGACTCCACCTACGAGATGATCGGAGGATTGGACAAGCAGATCAAGGAGATCAAAGAAGTGATCGAGCTGCCCGTGAAGCACCCTGAGCTCTTTGAAGCCCTGGGCATTGCACAGCCAAAGGTGGGGACTGGGCTTCTGGGAGGAGCTGTAGGCTGCCTGTACTCCTACCCCAGGCAGGTCGTGTGCTGGGCCAGGATGGGCTACAGGCTGCTGGGGCTGCCTTTCCGCTTCTTAGCGCCAGCTTCATGGTATTTTTTTAATTTTTGGCAGAACCAGGGATTGAACTCAGGCCCTTGTATTTGCCAGAGAAGCACTTATTCCACTTAGCCATCTTCCCCAGCCCCAGCTTCATGGTATTAAGCTGGGTTAGCTAAAAGCTCTAGAAGGGAACATCCATAGCCTGTGGCAGAGGATCAGACAAATAAATAAGTAGTTGAGTGAAGCATTCTGGAGTGACACGAAGCCAGCTTTCTGCCTGCCGTTTCCCTGTAGGGGGTGCTGCTGTACGGACCCCCTGGCACTGGGAAGACACTGTTGGCCCGCGCTGTGGCTCATCACACAGACTGTACCTTTATTCGTGTCTCCGGCTCAGAATTGGTACAGAAGTTCATTGGGGAAGGTACTGTGTAGGAATGTGAGAGCCAAGTGGAAGGGGAGAGTGGGGCGCTCATTAGTGTCTAATGCCAGCCGGGTCTGCACAGGGGCGAGGATGGTGCGGGAGCTCTTCGTCATGGCCCGGGAACACGCGCCCTCCATCATCTTCATGGATGAGATCGACTCCATTGGCTCCTCCCGGCTGGAGGGGGGCTCTGGAGGGGACAGTGAGGTGCAGCGCACGATGCTGGAGCTGCTCAACCAGCTAGATGGCTTTGAAGCCACGAAGAATATCAAGGTGAAGTGTAAGCCTGGGGACAGGCCACTGGGAGGCCTTGGGCAGCTTGCAGACCAAGAGCTTAGCTGAGTCTGCTCCTTTCTCTATTCAGGTTATCATGGCTACCAACAGGATCGATATCCTGGATTCTGCACTGCTTCGCCCCGGGCGCATTGACAGAAAAATTGAGTTCCCGCCCCCCAATGAGGAGGTCTGTAACAGGTGGTGCCTGGAGCAGCTCTGGCTGTGGGCACAGGGTGTGGGACCAAGGGCTTTCCTCTCTGTTCCTAGGCCCGGCTGGACATTCTGAAAATCCATTCCCGGAAAATGAACCTGACCCGAGGGATCAACTTAAGGAAAATTGCTGAGCTGATGCCAGGAGCATCAGGAGCTGAGGTTAAGGTACCTGGAGTCTCAGGGAAACACAGGAGTGGCCAGCAGCTCTGGGCTCAAGGGGCATCTCAGGGTTGAGGGGGCACAAGTGTCTCAGTGTCCTTTTCCTGCCCAGGGTGTATGCACAGAGGCCGGCATGTATGCACTGCGGGAACGGCGAGTCCATGTCACCCAGGAAGACTTTGAGATGGCAGTAGCCAAGGTACGCCCACTGTTCCCTGGCTGGTGGTGGCTCAGGCAGAGTAAGGCTTGGGCTCACACCACATGTGCTTTTTTTCTTTCTAGGTCATGCAGAAGGACAGTGAGAAAAACATGTCCATCAAAAAATTGTGGAAGTGAGGGGATGTCTTTTTCATATATCCTCCAAATAAAGATCTGTGCAACAAGCCCTCTAGGACTCCAGTCTGTTAAGAGTGGTCACACTGTGTAATGACCCGGTCTAGGCACCACCAATAAACAAAAGAATTTATTTGGAAATTTCCAAACCTGCCACAAGTGGCATTTGCCAAGCCCTAAGCTCCAAGTTCCAAAGGGCAAAACAGTCCTCCCAGCCTCCCTGTCACCTCACCCTGCCCTCTGCCACGTGCACCCCCCCTTGGGTACTCCCCTCCCCTTAGAGGTTCCATCCCAACCAGGAGGGATCCCAGGAGATGATGGCGGCCGTAGCCGCTTGCATAGATTAAGAAAATAACAAGGAAGGAGGCACCAAATAGGGCTCCCTGAAAAACCCCAACCTACCCCTGTACAAAAAAGTGGCTCCCACATAGAAAAACCTGTTCCCCACATAGTGCAAATACCCAAAGGAAAGAAAGAAGCCAGCAGCAGGGCTGGGCTTGTAGGAATGGCAAAGAACTTTGGTTTAAGAAGGCTAAGAAGAGCCTAGCTGGGCCTCCTCTTCCGTGCCCAGCTCCGCAGACTCGGCTCTGACACTGGCCCCGGAGGAGAGCCTGTAAACATGCAAACCCAGCAGCCTTTGGTTCCTAAAACACCAGAGCGTGGCCTGCAGCAGTCCTGTCTGGGGCTGCCTGCAGGGGGCAAAGGAGGCATCTGAGAATCCAATTAAAGCCAATGCAGAAAAGTAATAAGGCTTTGGGACCAAGCAACATGGAATCCTATCACTACATTTATAAAACTAAATCTGGGGGTAGAGGGTGCCGGCAGACACCCCTCACCGCATCCTACATGTCTGCGGCACAAGCGAGGACCCAAAGGGCAGTCCCTTGCCAGGCTCCAGGACAGAAGAGATCCCTGAGCAGTTAGGTCAGGCGAATTCCCAGCACCTGTTCCAGTTCCTGCCTGCGCTGCTGCACCTGGAGAAGGAAGAACATGGCTCAGGCTTCTTGTTACAACAAAAGGAGGCCACAGCGGGCAAGGCCTCACCTTGGCGAAGATGTGCCTCCCCACTGCCTCCTGCGCCCAGGGCTGGTGGTAGAAAGCAGCTCGCCGCTCCTCCTCGGGGTTTCCGATCACATCGGTGATGATCTGCGGGCCAGGAGAGGAGCCATGGCATAACCCCCACCTGAAAGCCCATCTGCCCTTGGAACCAGGAGAACAGCGCTGGGGTAGAAATCAACTTGGGAGTCCCTGAGGAAAGAGGGCTGACCTTGAGGTCTCGGCGCTGGGAGCGGAGCCATTCCTGGATGAAATCCTGGGGGTCGGTGCTAAAGCTGAGCATGAAATCCCTCTGAGTCTTCAGCTGGTTGATGGACTCAATGGTCTCATGGATCTGAGGAAGAGGGTCATGTGTTGGGCAAGCCCTGCCCTGGGTCTGTGTCCAGGGACAGACCACAGGACTGGGCAGCGGCCTCTCCCAGTGCGCTACAGTAAAGTGCCATGCCAGCCCACCCTCACCCTGGGCCCCAGGGACGGGTGCGAAGGCAGAGGGCCTACCTTGACGTCAAGAGAGGCAATCTCCTGCTGGTTGGTGGTAGACGCTAGGAAGTTGCTCATCTGGGCCTTCAGGGGGTCATCTACCTCCACATCAATGTCGTAACAAGCTGTCTTCTTTTGGTCATTAGGGTCCACACTGCATGCACACAGGAAAGGACGTAGAAACACACGCCCAGCAAGAAGCCCCCCCTACAGCTTCTCTCTGGCTGCAGCCCAAGCCCAGGGTGCATCTGCCTTCAAAGTCCCTTCCTTTCCTTACCTAATAACATGGTTGATGACAATGGGGTCTGGATGCTGCAGCAGTCCAGCCAGTTTCACAGGGATCTCGGAGAAACGGAGCCGTCCGCAGCTGAAGATCTGGAAAGAGCAGCAGAAGCCTGGGGAAGCCTGGCACATGGAGCAAGCAGGACGCTCCAGGGGCAGGAAAGGCAGCAGCTAGGACGCCAGCACTACCCACTGAGCTCTGCACAACTGGACAAGGCAGGGGAACTGAACAGGCAGGACATCACCCGGGGAAGGCTGGTGTACCTGGCGAAAGTAACGGTTGCAGTTGATGTACTCGCGCTCATGGCCATCCTGCAGCTGGTTGTGTTTGATGTAAAGCCAGAGGGCTTGCATGATGGCAGCCCGTGTCTGCGTGTGCACCCCCAGTAACCTCGCTAGTCGGGGATCCAGCTTATACTGAGGAGGCTGAGGGTAGAGGGGAACCAGCAAAGGGGTTCTTGAGCAAAACCAAAGGAGAAGGACAGGGCAGGAACAAGGCCCCCACCCACGCCACTCCTGTGGCCCCAAACATGACCTGGGGCGTCTGTCACCTGGTGATCCAACATGAGCAGGAGGGTGCACTTGACATTGAGGTCTCCAGGCCGCTTCACCTGGAAGCCATCTGTCTCCTGAGTGGTGGGCATCCGGTGCCACTATAGGAAGGAGGGGGGAGGTGCTCATCACCGAGTGGGCAGGCCATCACTGGGGACCAAGGCCATCACCACACCCGGGGCTTGGTGCAGCGGCTTCAAGTGGTCTCCCAAGGCCGAGGGCCACTCACCTCCACCAAGTGATTGTCAGGCCCATACAGTTCCTTGTCCAGCTCAATGACGAGGCTCTTGAAGAATGAAGAAAACTTTCTCTTCTGTTTGCTAGGCTACGAATGGAAGGGAGCATGAGCTCGGGCTGCTTCTGCGTTCTCAACCACTACCCCAACAGGAGCGTTCTCCAGCTGTTGAGCTCAGGACAGTGAGGCACCGGGAGCCCTGACTGTGTCCCATAGGATTTATCACCCACTCACCCCACCCCTGTGCTAGGGATCTGAAGAGGCAGACTCCACGAAGTGAGAGGCTGGGGCCGGGGGAAAAGCTCCTGCTGTACCCCACACCAGCCAGTGACAACTTCAAGGCATCCAACTGCCATGGGTGGATACTGAGTACACACTGAGCCTGGCACTGGGTGTGTGGCTCAGTGGTGGAATACTAGCCTAGCATTCATGAGGCGAGGCTGGGTCATCTCCAGCACCACCAATAAATAAACAGCTGGAGCCACATCCGCTCCCTATGGCAGGACTTCTCGGGGAGCACCCCATCTGGCCCCAGTCTTAACCCAAGAGGCTGCTTCCCCTCCAGACACCCCTCTCCCCAACTCACATCATCCAGCAGTTTGCCTTCCACACGGAGCTCCCAGGAAGCCACCTTGTCCCCTGCTGGGGTTCCTCCAGGGGTCCCTGCAGTTCCTGCACTATCACCTTCTGCCTTGCTGGGACTGAACGTATTGGAAATGTAGATTCGAAGCTTTCGTTTTTGCTAAAGAAAATCAAGTAGAAGCAGAACACTTCGAAAATCACTACCCAATCTTCCCATGTGAACTCATTCAATAATCAGTTACTGACTGCTAAGGACCAAGCACTTTGTTAGGTACTGGGATTTGGAATAATCCTAGTCCTGGCCTTCAAGATACTCAGTTTTATGATGAAAAGAGGCACACAAATGACAGTGTCAACACAATAGCACAGGCACACACAGGGCACTGTCAAGCCAATCCAAAGTGGCTGGGGATGGGGTGTGGCAAGGATTTCCCTAGTTAAGCATGAGGCCCCGGGTACCACATATACATTAAAGTCAGGGCCTTTGCACTATCACATCCCCCAGCCCTTTTTTTTTTTTTTTTTTCACACAAGAGCGCGAGAAGTCACTAAATTGTCTTAGTTGGCACTGAACTTTCAATCCTCCTGCCTCAGGCCCAGAGTCCTGGGATTATAGGCAGATGTCACCACACTGGGTAAGATTTACACTTAATCATCACCCAGGATCCTCATACATATATATGTATCTGAAACAATAACTTAATAAAATAATATCACTACAATAGTAGGTGCTTCATTACAGTGAAATATCTTCATACTTCTTACTATTTCATATTAATTTAAAACATGCTGGCCCAATCAAAATCCCTGGCTTGAAATTATACAAAACTACTATGGTAGGGCTGGGTAGATATCTTGGTGATCTAAGTGCCTGCCTGGCAAGCACAAGGATCCAAGTTTGATCCCTGTACCGCATGCTGTGCCACCCAGTGAAACCAGCTGTGGTAGCATACCCCTGTAATCCCAGTGCTGGGGAGGCTGAGACAGGAGGATCACTACTAGTCTCAACTGAGTAGTAAGACCCTTTAACAAAAAAAAAAAAAAAAATTCTTAATGTTTTTAAAAAACTATGATAAAAATAGCATGGTACTGACAAAAAGAACATACCCGAGGATCAATGAAACAGAAAAAAACAACTCCAGACACACTTAGCCACGTTATCTTTGACAAAGGAGCCGGACACCTTCACTAGAAGATAGCCTCTTTAATAAATGGCACTGGAAAAACTGGCTTTCCATATGCTAAAAAGTAAAACTAGATCTGCATCTCTCACTATGCACTAAACTAAAATCAAAATGAATCAAAGATCTAAATATTAAACACTAAATCTGCTGAAAGACACACTAGGTAGAACTCTTTAAGACACTGGTGTAGGCAGAGTTTATTAACAAAACCCTAACTGCATAGGAACTAGCACAAAAAGTCAACTGAGAACTCATTAAAAAGACTTTGCACAGCAAAAAGAAAACAATGAAGTGCAGAGATAACCTACAGAGTGGGGAAAAAAATTCTGCCAGCTGTGCCCACAACAAAAGACTACTAGCTATATATGAAGAACCAAAAAAAAAAAAAAAAAAAAAAAAAATCAGACCCCTCAAATTTAAAGACTCAAACCAAAACTAAAATATAGACACTTCTCAGATGAAGATGGAGAAACAGCAAATAAATATATGAAAACATGTTCAATGTCACTGCTCATTTGAGAGATGTAGATTAAAACAACTGTGAGATTCCATCTCACTTCAGAAAGCGGCTATTCACTAATAATGAATGTCAGTGGGACTATAGGGGAAAAATCCCTTCTCCACTGCTGCTGGAAGTGCAGACCGGTGCAACCACTGGAAATGAGTGTAGAGGACCAACACTAGGACTTA